CCATCAAAGTTGCATGTTCCGCCAACATTATGCATTCTCTGATAATAATCATTATAGGCATATGAAGCATGACTCTTGACAGTGTTGGGAAGATAACATGGCTTTCCCTCTTGGATGGCAGAGCAATTAGCCTTGCCTTGCCCACAAGCCCAGTTCAGCCCTTCTTGCAACTTATCAGAATCTGCATCATCTCTTGCCACACAGAAAACACCAGAAGAATTTCCCATATTTTGACCGGAAGCAGTCAAACTCAGAGGATAAACGGCAGTCCCATTGGTAAAAAAGAAACCCCAGTTTTTCTCTGAAACAGGCCCAGGCCTCTTGTCCTCATTGAACAACTCGTAAATGTATGTGTTAATGGGCATTGAAGTCTGACTGGGAGGACCAGAGTCATTCAAAACTCTTTTGATCAGATTATTATTGTATGTCTCAGCATTTTCCAGAGTTGCATCAGGTTCATCGCCTCCACCAAGCCAAGGCCAACCAGATTCTGTAACAACAACAGGGATCCCTGAAAGATTGTAAGCATCTATAGAATAGTAGGTAGCATCTACCATGGCATCAAACATACTGTCATAGTGGAGAAGCGTGTTTGGGTCAACAATTTGCTTGACTGCAGGAAGTGATCTGAAAAGGGCATAATCAATTGGAAAAATACCATTTCCCTTGGTGTAACCATAATAAGGATAAGCATTTAACATGAAATAGGAGTTAGTATTCTTCAAAAACTGAAGGATCTGGTAAATTGTAGAGTTCCATGAAGAATTAAAGGTAGCAGTGGAAGGAGGGAATGGTTTGGGAATAACATCCATGTTGTGGGGTGTTGAAACTTTGACTTGGAAATTTAGATCAGTAGCAACTAAGGCCTTATGAAGGTTATTCATGGCAGACACCAAAACCGGTGCAACATTAGGGACTGCAGTAAGCACCTCACTGCCAACAGAGATAGCTGTAATATTAGTTGAAGGCATGTAAGATGCAACATTTTTATTAATCCAGGCTGCTGCTGTTGACGGAGTTTCTCCAATCCCCAGGACTTCCTCATTTGTGACACCAACAATTACTTCAATTCCAGTGTTTGCAAGGGCTTTCAGCATGTGACTATCAGCGTCATATAGGCGCACATGAGTAATTTGATTGGCTTTAAGTATGGCAACGACATCCGAAGCCGATGGCATCTTAGAAACATCAGTTCCAATGTTTACTCCAACATATGCACCTAACATTCAGAAAATAACATCTGGTAAGAAAGATAATCCTGCATTAGTGAAATTTCCTACCATGTTTTAAAGGTCCCTTCCATGAAGGATGAAGTATTCTTATAAGAAAAACCCCATCGGTGGAAGCACGTATGGTTTTATGATTATAAGGGCAACTGCTTCAGGCAATGTTTATATTCCATTCTTAAGCAATTTGACAATTTCCATTCCCTTTTCTTGGGAGTCTTTGCCTTCAGATCTTTTCTCTTGACTACCTTATTAGACCAAAACCTCCAATACTTCATCGTCATTATGCCCATAATCAATATGTCAACTCCCACATGTATTAGAATTTTCTTCTTTTTTTGGGGGGGTTGAATGGGGTACTGTAGGGCTCCAAAGCATAAACTCACTAACTAGATAAACTATTCCTCTACAGTGCATTCATAAATTGTGAAGTCCTTTAAGATTATCATCTTTGTAATTGTTGATACTTCTAAACATAATAAGAAAGAGGAACTCCCCTAAGCTAAGTACTTTTAAATTTTAAAAGGAAATGGAGATCATAATCCAATTCATATATTTATAATACATTTAATTAGAGGTAATTAACACAGGAATATCAAAGTGTAGGACAAGTTTATTAAATTACCTAACACATTGGCGAACATGCCAATTACAAGAAAAAGCACACTTCCAAGCCATTTTACAGGCATCATCTGTCCAACAAAATTTCAACCCAGACCTTCAGTTCTCTGCCCTTTACACCCAGGCAGAGCTTAAACTGCTGAATCTTCCACAAACACTCGCAAAATGGAATGTAATACCAAAAGCTGAAGGCAAAATTCTGCAAGTAGGAGAGAGAACATTGTAGTGACTTAAAAAGATGGAGTCTATATAGATATATAGTAACTAAATGTAGATATGCTAAATATTGTTTTAACTTGGGAATCTCTTTGGCAAACCAATATATACATAATGACTACATGTTTCAACAGGAAAAAAAAAATTAAAACACATTTGCATGATGTATAAAAGCCAGCAATGACAACAGTATATTACAACTTCCAAATAGCAAATATCAAGCATTTGCTCAAATATAATAAAGGCATCTTATGTTCCTCATAAAGCTACCAACATTAGATTAGCCGAATTACTACTACTGAAGATTGACGTTACCATGTACTCACTCATAGCTAACAAGTATTTTGTAATTACACTAACTGGCTAGTTGCCTCCAAAATCACTAGCTAATAAGTCTCATATATCACTATTATGAAGAACTAGCAACAGCATTTTTGAAATAGAATATCCAAGAATCCACCACAAAAACTCTCTTTCCAAGTTTCCTAAAAATTATATTCCTCCTAAACCCTGTGTTTGACAATAAGGGAATCAAAAACAAAATAAATTAATACCATATGAGACTGCTAATCTATAAAACACACATTACATGATTTTCAGGGAATGCGACACACTCTAATTTAGAAGTAATTAACATATATGTACAACCTCAAAATAGTGGTATTTGTGAAACTCACTAGTCCTGGAGATTTAAAACAATATATACTCAGTTCATAGAGGGATATTGGGTGCCTCACGTTACCCCTATCAAGCAATATCCGTATAACTATGGTTTTTGTCTTCCTTCCAGGGAAACCAAGGAGAGGAGCATGTGCAGGGGGCACCAAGAGAGATGAGGCGCATGAAGAAGCCCATTGATTACCTAACTATTAAACCAAAAACATGCCTCAACTCAAGTTCCAACTTACTTCTATGAACAAGAAGCCCTTCAATCACCTAATACTTAAATCCAACCGTAATTTCCATGATAAAGTGTACAACATTAAGAAAATGAAACTTAAGCTGAATCCAAATGGTTAAATCAGTCAAAATCTTATGTCCTAGTCAAACCCCAATGAACCACTTCAGACATGGCCCACCCCATTGTACCGTGGAAATGGTTCCTCATCGTCCAATATTCCCAGACCAGTTACAGTTTAATAACTTGCAAAAACACGAATTTTAGTAACATAAGCCGATATAAACACGAGTAAATACAGAGTTGCAAGCATAAAAAACTGCAGAAAAGCTAAGCATGACAAGCCCTAATTTTAAACATCCCATAATCACAATGCAGCATAACTGAACTGCAAGAAATTAGCGAAAGGAGCTCAATATTCAGCAAGAGCGAGAAAGAAACATCTTAGTCATGCCATTTAAGATTCTATAAGGATCTTTACCACTCAGTATGTCTAAGCAATTCTAAGAACTAACAAAGACATAAAACTGTGACTATGTCAAGCTCAGACTCGAGGAAAACTAAAAGCAACTAAACTGAAACAAGAATTAAACTCCTAAGTACACCAAGTCCAGAAATCAAAACGACATAAAACAAGAAACCCAGATGCCAAAACATCAAAAAGCGAAGAACCCAAATTAATAAATGAAGAACAAAACTCAAAAAGTACCTGATCCAAGCTGACCAGCTGAAAGTCTCCTGAAAAAGAATCAACAAAACTTCAAAACCTCCCAGTAGAGTAGTGTTTTAAGACGAAAGTCACTAATACGAGCAACTTAGGAACAGTTTGGTAACTAAAACAGCACAAAACGCACACACTTCTGGTTCTATAGTCACTGTGCTACAAAAAACTATACCCCACAAACAGTAACAGAAGCACTGTACATTTAATGTTATGTCTAGAAGCTAAAACATTAATTCAAGGTTTGTTTTGTTTGTGTATCTAATCTTGATACCGAAGAGACACAAGGGTTGATTCTTTGTACTTTTGTCTTTCTGGAGACATCAAGATCATGGCCGTCCATATAAAGTATATGGGTCAATTTATTTGTGTTATTTTATTGGTTATATGGAAATAAGACATGCATATAAAGAGAATTAGAGGAGAATTATGGTGATTTTGTTTATCATTTTCCCTCCAAAAGTCACCATCAATTAAGGTATTTAAAGCTTGAATGGAGAGGAAAAGTCAAAGAGAACGGTTTAGCTGTTAAAAACTTTAACTTGTATTACTTTGTTAATGACAATACAATTTTTCATTAGGCTTCAAATTTCTTTTGGTTTTGTTCTTTTTCTTGATTGAAATGATGGATATAGGATTTTACTAGAAGATAAAATATTTGCTTATTTTAATGCATAGTGTAAAAAGACAAAAAAAAATACAATTACCAAGTAATCAAAATTTTAAATATTTTATTTTCTAAAACAACCCTTAAAAATATTAGACAATCTTTAACAATATTAGACTTAACAGAGACACCTTAAAAATATTAGACAATCATTGCGGCATGCGTAATAACCATTTATTTTGGCAATGGAAATTTATTGAACATACACATTCCACTATGATGGCAGCAAACAAGGATTTTGCATACGGTGCTTTTGATGATGCATTGGTGGACCAAATGTTACAATAGCACCAGGCAAGGACAGTCAATTTTCAAAAAATTCCAAAACTAAAACCAAACCCTGTGTAGAAGCAAAAATGTAGAATCCAAGAAAGAGAGAAAATCAAGCTCCTGCTTAGTTGTAAAGTTGAAAACGGTGGGATGCAATCGTCAAAAGGCATCCCCTTTTTAGACTCTTTTCTGTCACCACCTCTTTTCTCATCAACTGGGTCCCTTCAGAATCAGATGCCCCCAGTCCCCACATTTCCATATATTGCATAGAAATTTCATAATCATTCTAGTTCAAAAACGGATGGTATAATGGGAAAGGGGACTCAAGTGTAATGAATGGTAGATAGATTTGAAGTGAGAGTTAAGTAAAGCCAAGAAGAATGGAGAAGTTTGGAGTACTCATTAATCTGGAACCTAAGATCAAAATATTAGCATAACAGACAGATTAAAGCTGCAACATCAAGAAAGTATATACTACAAAGTTCAACCTAAACATCAACAAGACCTTCTACATCAAAGACAATACCGCACGCACTAAGAGAACACGAACTTCAAACAAAATCTGGAAGATAGGTAGGATCTCAGAATCATCTCCCTCCAGTAGCTCACTGACTGGGAGACCTATCTCCATTGGGTTCTCCAGAGTATCCATCACGTCTTGGAGACTGGCTTCTGCTTCGGCTTGGGCCACGTCTTGGGGTCTGGCTTCTGCTTCGGCTACGGCTTGGGCCCTGAACCCTGTCAGGACTTATGCTGCGGCCCCTTGAGCCATTATAGGCTGGAGAACGTGAATATGATCTCTCCCGACTATACTTTCGATCATTGGGTGAAACAGATCTACCTCGGAAAAAGGCAACCAAATAAATATATTAAGAGTACAGATTTCATAGGCAACAATGAACACTTCAATAGGAAAAAAAAAAGGNTATTTGAAGTGAGAGTTAAGTAAAGCCAAGAAGAATGGAGAAGTTTGGAGTACTCATTAATCTGGAATCTAAGCTCAAAATATTAGCATAACAGACAGATTAAAGCTGCAACATCAAGAAAGTATATACTACAAAGTTCAACCTAAACATCAACAAGACCTTCTACATCAAAGACAATACCGCACGCACTAAGAGAACACGAACTTCAAACAAAATCTGGAAGATAGGTAGGATCTCAGAATCATCTCCCTCCAGTAGCTCACTGACTGGGAGACCTATCTCCATTGGGTTCTCCAGAGTATCCATCACGTCTTGGAGACTGGCTTCTGCTTCGGCTTGGGCCACGTCTTGGGGTCTGGCTTCTGCTTCGGCTACGGCTTGGGCCCTGAACCCTGTCAGGACTTATGCTGCGGCCCCTTGAGCCATTATAGGCTGGAGAACGTGAATATGATCTCTCCCGACTATACTTTCGATCATTGGGTGAAACAGATCTACCTCGGAAAAAGGCAACCAAATAAATATATTAAGAGTACAGATTTCATAGGCAACAATGAACACTTCAATAGGAAAAAAAAAAGGCATGGTGGGATGGCAAGACATCCCCGCAGTCACTTTGATCGTTAATAATTTTGAAACAGAAGTAACAAATTACAAATCTGGAAGGAATACACTTCAACAAGATTCAAACATATACATCCAAGGAGTCATTGGGTTACTACTTATTTAGAAATTATTCTATATAGCACATACATAATAAGAAAATTAGTTCTTACAAGAATTTACGAGCAACAAAATCACATGCACAAACAAACTTTTGATTCGGGGAGACACACTTTGCATCTCAAATGTACTCATGTTTTGTCATATGTAAAACCAAAAATTGGTGCTACAATATCAAAAAGACAACTCAACCTTTGTCTTATTAAATTTTCTTAAGGAAATGGGAAACAAACACAACTAAACTGTTTTCTCTTTGATTTATTTTTTTGGAATGCAAGCACAAACATGAGTCAACTTCAAAAAGAAAATAACAAAATATATTACTCACCCTGAGTAATGCCTACGTTTTGGGGGAGGGGAATATTCACGGGAGGGAGATCTGGCATAACGTGGAGGAGGGGAGCGTGAATAACGAGGTGGGGATCGAGAATAACGAGGGGGAGATCGTCTTCGAAACCGACCCCTGCAACAGTGAAAATCATCAGAAGGTTTACATTAAACTTTTGAATTATGGCAATGTATTGTAACAAAATTATACTTTTTTGCCTAGTCCAAAGAGTTACAAAGTACATTTTTAGCACACACTTTACCATATTTTTTTATTATTCTCTTTGTCTTTTAAAATAGTTTAATTATAGTCAACCTTAATATCAGAATGTATATATTTAATTACAATAAATAAAAGGTCAAACTTCTACAAGCCAATTCTTGATAAATTCACATAATCTCTGCACTCCAAAATTTCCAAAATAGGGCTGCGGGAGTGCAGTCCCCAGGACATAAATAGATGTCAGAGGCCATCAAATTTGTAATCAGAAAATTATGTAATGTCACACCACATTATATGGCAGTCAAAATCTCCACAAAACAATCACAGTACAAAACTAAAATATGTGGAGATTTTCTGAATGCCTCAACTAAAAAATTAAAAGAACAGTAAATTTACCTTCCTCGCTCCCTTGCCCTCATATCAGATGGTTTTTTTCTATTCTCCTCTGCAAACACAACAGTCAACTCTCGACCTTGAAGAACCCGACCATCCATGTGACGTTTGGCTTCTGCAGCATCAGCAGGATCTACAAATTGGACAAAACCAAAACCACGAGGTTCCCTGCAAAATTTAAATGGTAAAAGAAAGAAGGAAAAGAAAATTGTCATGACAGGAGCTTCAACTGAACAAAATATGTGACATGTTCTCTGTACACCATAAACCTTTGCTAATTGAAAGTTGCCAAAATAATCCCCAGTAATATGGAAGGTCATGATAAGCATGAAAAAGCAAGCACTTGCCTGCTGACATTGCAAATGTCAGTTTAAAGATGACTTGAAATTCTTCAAGACTTGGAACATCTTCACAATGTATTCAAACCCAACTTCCTTCCAATCTTCATTATCATTAACATCATCTTCAAAAGAACTCTAATTACTTGATTGGTGTCTTCAAAACGTTAATTCCACTGTTAAATCTCAGCAACTTCAATTAACACACCCAACTTATGATTACAATAGAGTATATCATGAAGTGAATACCCCATCAACAGATTTACAGGCAAGCAGGTGCTTAGAAGGGTCTGCTTGATAACAATTCAACATGCATGCTTTCAAACAATCTTTGTACTTCCTGAATTTCTAAGAAAGATGACATCAAGTATTGAGAAAATAGTGTTTCAAAATCATTACTTTACTAGAAAGTGGGTAGTAAACCACAGAAAGACAAAATTGTGATAATTTCATAAAAGAAGCACATTAAAAAACTACAAAAATAGAATATCCCAAAATGGAACCCCAAAATCATCTGTCTTAGTTTATTTCAGAAACCCAAAATGATTTTGCACAATGTCACCAAGCATGTCCTAGACTTTCCTCAAACCCACCAAAGATGTAAAACTACAGTTTAATTAAGAACAAAAAAACACCTTTTAAGATCAAAAATAAAATACAGTACAAAGCTACTTCAAGCTTCTACAGCTAGCAGATATTAGCTCACCCAGTGTAATAATCCCTAGGCAAGTAAATGTCCTTAAGTGCTCCAAACTGCTCAAACGGCCTGCGAAGGTCTTCTGGCCTGCAAACAACACAAGTTAAAAAATTAAATAGAATGTCAACCAATGCAACTCATTTTAAACCACAAGAAATTTTGTTCAATCATCAAAAAGAAAACGCAAAAATGCTAAGTACCCATAGCTATACATCTCATATTTCGAATCAACCAATAAATTTACTCCAACAAATGGTCAAGCTTCTACACTAGCCAATAATACTAGCATGCAATTTTTCAGCATCGAATTCACCCTCAACTTGGCCGCAAAAACTTGCGCCAATGAACAGAAAAATGCAGCTAGGGATACAAAGTTTCAACGTCTACATTCAAGCATTACAAGTTTGCCGTTCAATATTACAATTCAAGTTCCATATTTAGAGTTTTACGTCACATATTGCCAATCACAACAACAATATACAATACAAGTGTCTAGCAATACCAAATTTCAAGCTTTACTTTCTAAGTTTCACATTCAATGTTACAATTACACCTTCCATGTTACAAGGTTTACGTTAAATATTACGTATCAAAAAAACCAAGCAGCATTGACTCAATCACAAACACTGACCCATTACAAGAATTGCTCAAAGCCACACCATAACAAAATTCTTCAAGAAAAACATTAACAACTTAACTTCAATCAATTACCTGCAATCGTGGCGAAGGTTACGCACAAGAAGGCTGGTGGGAAGATCTCGGCCACGCCCACCGCCATAGCGACCTCTGGGGCTCGGGCTCCGTCCTCTCCGGCCATAGCCACCACCCCGTGGCGGCGGTGACGGCGTGTAACTCCTTCCTCTCATTTACACGGACAAACGTTCAATCTGTTAAAAAAGTTTCAAGATTTTAAAGGTTAGAAATAAATTACCCAAATTGAAGAACGACCTAGTGAAATTAATGGGTTGGGCAAGTGACTGTTACCTGTAATTCGACGGAGAGAGAAGTGAAGAGCAATGCTAGGTTAGTGCTTGGTTTATATTAGAAGTTTCGGTTGAGGATGTGTTTGTATATAATGGTCAGTAGGGTTTGCCATAAATACTGTGTGTTTTTATGGGCTCTTGGAAAATCTTTATTTGTCCAAGGGTTGAAATTTTTTGATAATTCTCTTTGTAAAATTACAAAGACACCCTTTTTAATCAATAATTTGCATTCTTCTCCTTCTTGTTCTTTCCATCATCTATTCATCTATATTCACATTTATTCTTTTTTTTTTTCTTTCGTAGCAACGCCCGTGTTTTAGTGACCTCAATTTTTTTTTTTTGTGGTTTTTTGATTGATTAAAGGTTTAAACTTTTCTGGGTATTGAAGATTAATGGAGGAGCAATTCATTCTCAGAGTTCCCCCTTCTGTTGCTGAGAGAATCGAACGCCTTTTGAACGAAGACCCTTCTTCCGAGGAAGACAAGTCTTTAGATTTATCTTTTTCTGGTGAGCACTTGCTTTGAATTGTAAAAGTTTCTTGAATTTTATTGTTAGTTTGGCCTATCAATTTATGATTTTGTTTATAGTTTTATAAGATTGTACCCGCATAATGTTTCACTTTCAAGTTCAGAATTTTGAACATCATAGCTCATAAATTTTGAAGAATTGTCAAATGTGTTAGTTTAATGGCTAATTATTTATCAGTATGAGCTTTCGTATTTGGTGTTGCAATTGGACATTTGATGATGTGATTTTCTTCAGTCATTCCGTGATGTTGTTACAGTATAATGATTAGATATGGATAAAGAAGTTTTCTGTTTTTTTCTTTTTCCAATAAGTTGTAATTGCTCATCCTCATCCAATGTTCTAAAACTGCCTGAATTTATACCTTTTGTAAGTGTAGAATTTCCGATTTGCTTTCTCTAAACCACGTCATCTGATTTTCAACTGTGCTTTTATGTGAGAGCATCCAAAACTCTCTCTTAAGATCAATTGAGATCAAGTATCATGTCAATTTATATTATGCTTTCTCGTTTCTTTGGCTAATTGAAGGTGGGAGATATTTTTACCTGCATCAATGATGTTAGTCCTACTTAAATCTGTCATGACCATCATTGTTTTCCGAAAACATAACGTTGCTTTTATTGAATCTTGACGACTTGTATAGGATCTTCTTACTTTTGCAAGCAGAAAAAGAAAATTTTATATGGCTTTGAAGTTAAGGGACCTCAGACAGTAGTTTGTTGGCTCGCTCACTCTCTCCGAATGTGTGTCTGTTTTCATGTTTGTGTGTTTGTGTGCTTTTTTATTTGCGTGTTTGTGTGCTTTTTTATTTAGTACTTGATATTTTGTTTGCAAGTTCAAATTTGAATTTTTGTAACATTAAATTTGTCTGTGACTGAATATTGTATGAAAGCTGTAAAATCTGTCTATTGATGAATAAATAGTGTGAAAAATTAACAATATTTTGTATGCTTAGTATTTCAAACATTAATATTGTTTCACCTAATGTATTTGCATGTTTGTGAACTTAACAAATGTTTACAGAGAATGGGAGAAGTGGAAATTTTGTCATAGGCAATGAACATTTCCCCGTATCTCTGCTAGATCTTCCTTGTGTGGTGGAGTCTTACAAAACCTATGATGACAGTGCTCTGGTTAAAACTGCAGACATTGGTCAGGTAGTGCTAGTTGTGAAAATCATTGATTTCATGGCCTTAAACACAATTCCATCTTCTTAATGCGATTATATGAACCATTGCTGTTATACAGATTATAATGGTTAGGGAACCAGGTGATTCTGCTCCAGATGTGGTGGAGTACAGACATGGTCTTACACCTCCTATGAGGGATGCTCGAAAACGTAGATTCCGGAGGGAGCCAGACCTAAATGTACAAATTGCCTCAATACTTCTCAAACGTTTGTTCATTTATGATATTTTTCTGTTAAAAACAGGAAATAAAACAGATAAATGTTTTGTCCCATGCATGAGAACTTTAAATTCACCACTAAATGTTCTCTTATTAGACATTTGCAGCCTGAATGAAGATGCACACAAATAAAGTGATTACAAGCAATAAGAATTGTGTAATGTATTTTACAGTTAGTAATAACCAACATAAAGTGAGAGATAACCAAGTTGCTTGAGCTGGAACATTATCTAACTGCAATTTTTTTTCTTTTGTCCAATTATTTCTGCTGATATCATTGTTGTTTCCTTTTGCAGCCTGAGCTTGTGCAGCGTGTTGAGAAAGATTTGTTGAACATCATGAGCGGTGGAACAATCGAAAATGCAGATATCCTTACATGTTATAAATGTAACATCAGAATTGTTGTTAACCAAAAAAAAAAAAAAAACTCATTTATGTGAGTAATTTGTAAATTTCTGAAATTAGGTATAACTGTGAATGCAGAAACATGCCTAGACATTAGGTGGAGCTACAAATCTATCATGTTCAACTGGACCTAACATTTGTTTCTTCTGTATTTTGTTGGATAGGTAGATCTTTGTAATTGATAGGCAGTACATCATTTAGCTGAAATTTGAATTTTTCACTGAATAAACTGTTTATGAATGATTGAAGCACGCATCATTGCATAGATGTGTCACACTCTAATTGATAATAGAAAGAAGATGGAGGTTTGGAAAGAAGTCTGCATATGTCTATAGTTTTTGAGTATCTTCTTGATTGAATGTTTACATTCTTTAGTTACAATTTGAATATTCCTTGACTAAATGGTTTACATCCTGAAGTGAATGAGCAAGAGGAAGATGCTGACGGAAATGCACGTAATGCAAACAAGAAAGTTGCACCCACTCCTGCACCGAAGCAGGCTGATGTTGCAGAGGCAGAAGCTAATGCTGGGGCACCTGAAAGAAGCGACTCTGAGGAGTCCGACGATTCTCTTTAACTGTAAACCTCAGTTAAAACTCAATATGTTTATCATATTCACAATGAATTTATAGCAGGATCAGTACCAGATCATTAGTCGGCTTGTTTGTTCATTTGACTATCAGAATAGTGTGTATCATGGATGGATGACTCTCTCTCTTTTGCTGGTTTCTGTTGTGCAGTTCCTGCTTGTTTCTTGTATCCATTGTACTTCATGACACCATGTAACTTTTGAGGAAGAATGTATATATTTATGTTTAATAATAAGCTTCTTATAATTTTCGGAAAATATACTTGATGAAGTTGTTATTGATCTGCACGGGGGAATCTTTTCCTTAGCTATATCCTCCTGGTATAGTTTGAAGAATAATATAGAGATGTCAAATGAGTCAAGTTGTTCTTTGTTCGTGCTGACTAACAAGATTTTACATCTTGATGATGTCCAAACTGTTTGGGCCCATGCAAAATGGCAAAACCTTGCTGGATTGGGCTAGATCCTTTCAAGAATAATATATATAGAGATGTCACATGTGTTCGTGTCTTGATTCACACACCTCGAGCCAGATAGGATGAAGATTATGTCCAGACTAGTGTTACGGCCCATATAAAATAACAAAATGTTGCTGGGTTGGGCTGGAAATGCAGCTACAATTGCACTTATATGATTCTTGTAGCAGAATGAATGTCTTCATACTTCTAAGCTCTATTATCTCTGTATGTAGCACACAACAATGCAACATGAATTTAATTAGGCAAGCAAATCCAGCTAATACTCTGACTTACATGCTGGAAAAATCCTGAAACTTGTCTAGAAAATTAGTTTATGATTTCCATAGGATTATAGAATTAAATGCCAGATCTGATCTTCCGTAGTACCGTATGCTTTAAATTTCAATTCAGTTCAATTTGTTTTTTGATCTAGTGTGAATGGGGATTTCTTCCATTTCTAAATTCAACTGTACTAATTGGTTATGCGATTTCGTTTCGGTACAGAATCCAAGAAAGATATCCTGTCAAATGAAAGACAGCTTCATCTGTTATAGTCTTATGTCCTTCCTTCAAGCTCACAACAAACTAACATTTATGAACTTTGACTTTTATTAATTTTATGTACCTAGTAGTTACTAGTCTTCAAGTGCTAATATTATCGAGTAAAGAAAATATTAATGAGTAAACATGTATATGTTACAAATGTATACGTATAAATCTTGAATGACAAGATATATATATATTCACTGATCTAATAATGTTATCAGCTGGTCATCATAAGTTGGAGTGTGAGTGGTATATGAAATATTTTGATGGTTTAAGCAAGCAAAGAAGTACTCTAGAAGCATCCTCTAAAGCTTGAGATGAAGCATGCCCATATTATATATGCCTAAATTCTTAATGCAAAAGCCATTAATTTAGAGGAGAAGGTTGGTGGGTTTTTGAAATTTGATGCCAGCTGCAATCTCATTAGGTATATGCATGGGTTTCATTTAAGGGAGTGTTGACTGTTGACCCACTACCCTTTTATCTGCCAACCCTATTTCCCACCAAATCCCTTCAACTGTAGGGTTTATCATTAAATTATCAATTCTAGTCAACTAGGGCTTGCAATTTCGGATACTTTCCATGCTCGGTTCAAAAAATGAAAATATTTTAACTAGGATAAAGGCCGTCTATATATCTATTCAATATAATCTTGTCACATATTACATGTATAGTCGATATAGGACCATGTGGCACATGCATCTCTACTCATTATATTTGTATTATGAGGGGTCTTTTTAGATGGTCTAGTAACCCTCAGTTTATCATAAACATAACTAGTATTATTAAATTACAAACTACCAAACATGTTTCTGTCTGTTTATAGTATAAAGTACTCATAGTATATATATACAAGATGAGAAAAAAGACATGTATAATTGAAGTTCTGCAATTATTCATAAATTAATTTGTTTGATCAGGCTGCATTTTCGGATCCCGATAAACATGTCTCTTCTTTGTTTAATTGTATATGTTATTCTATGATTCATATCCCTTTTGTCATTTTATACGTATTTGTACAGGCATGCATGCTACTTTATTCTATAAATGTTTTTTTTTTTTTAAATTATTATTATGGGTTTTAATTTTATTCATAATTATATTTTGTTTGTTTGGATTGAAACTTATTTGACACGACACCAATACGGCATACTAACCTGTTTTACTGTCTCTAAACATAATAATTGATAACCTTACGAATCTGATACTATAATTTATTAATAATTTTGAATTGATATAAATTAAATTATATGAAGAAAACATGGGTATTATATAATTAAAGATCAGCTCAACGACTGAACACATGTTTTCTGCAACAATTTTGTTATTTAGTTTTCATTGTTTCCCTTCTGGCATGCACTCACTTGGCATATAGTGAACCCATTTTCATGGAAACTACTTCAATTTTATTATAAATTTCTTGACATTTATCGGATTGAACAAAGTCAGCCCCATTTTTGGTTTCATATTAAAGTCAATCAGAAATTATTCAGTAAATCTACTAGCACTACAATGTCAAACACTTGTTTAGCAAGATCGGGTCAGCTCAGAAACTGTATCAATTGTAACTTGTAGCTTAAGCTTTAAGGTGTCAAATTTTATGCAAGAAAGATACAATTAATTTCGAAGGGAATTTCCCGGACATTGTCATTCAGTTTTATTCAAACTATGTTTGAGTGATGTGTATACCGAGTCTTTGTAGATTGTTGAACGAGGGTGAACAGCTATAATTAAAGATATTTTATATGCTGGTATTAACTCTTTGGAAATATTTGGCATAATAATTTGTTGCCTAATCTTGATATGACATTCGTTGAATACAATTTCTCTTGTGATCTGAAATTTTCTCGAATATTATTTTTAACCACTTAGAAATATATGTTTGTATTAAGGTATCATTTAATTTTATCCAAACTCATTGTTTTCAAAAAATATTAAAAACCCACTTAAGATTATTAAAAAATACCCTATAAAAAGTATTAAAACCAACTACCTTTGGGTGGTCAAGCTTACTCAAGAGGTCTTGAATTCGAGTCCCTCTTCGAGTGCTAATAAAAATAACTAGTATAACTCTTACCTAACTGATAGTTCTAGAGTCTTGGGGGATTAATTGAGATACACGTAAACTAATCCGAATATCCTCGATCATAAAAATAAAAAATAAAAAAGTATTAAACCCCTCCTTAATAGGACAATAAAATACTACCTACAACTGAGCGTGTTTAAAATTAATCGATCACATAGGAGTATATAATAGTAGCCCTTATGTATTCAACTTTGTAGCATGTTTATCTTGACTAATTAACCTAGTGAACCAACTTGTTAACAAGTGTAAAATAGTTAGATGAATTATAGTTTATTATGTCTCCACTACCAATAAACTTTACCTTATTTAATAAGTCATTTGTCAACATGAAGAATTGGGTATTGGATAAAAAGGGTAACAACTAATAAAGAACATAGTTTTGTGTTAGGGTTATTATTATAAATCCCCCAAGTGATCATTTAATTTTATCCAAACTCATTGTTTTAACAAAATATTAAAATCCCACTTAAGATTATTAAAAAAAAATACCCAATAGAGGCGTTTGGATCATATAATGTTTTATTATAGGGGTATATTTTATTAACAGAAAGAAATATTACCTTGAAAATTACTAGGAATATTTAGAAATTGGTTTGATTGGTTCGAATAAATTGATGAATACTATGTTTGGTTGGAATGATAAATGGGTGAGTATATTATATAACTAAATTGCCCTCTTTTTTAAATATTAATATAATAATATTTATTATTATTATTTTTTGGAATCATTTCTTTTAATCCGCTACATTTGAAATTTTGCTAAAACACCATAGCCATATAAAACTTTAATATGTAGCAAAATCACCCCCACCCACCCCCAAGTCATTGCCGGTAGCCAACCACCACCATCGGCAATCGACAGAATGGCACACAACTGGCCATATATGGCCGGCCGTGTGCTAACAAAGCCGAAAATGGCCATGGATCACAGATCCATGGTTGAAAAACAGCTAGTTTTATGGCCATGAAATGCCATAGAACTTTCATGGCCATAGAAATGTCAGATCTGGCCGAAAATATGTGATTCATGCTCGAAAAAGGCCTTATTAGCGCACGACTGACCAGATCCTGTCGGTCATGCACCATTACGATAACTAACATCGGCGACCGGCGGTGGTGAGTCAAGATCGACAGTAGTCTTGGGTGGCTAAGGGTATTTTATTAACTTTTAAACTTTTTTGTGGCTTGTGTGTTTTAGTTAATTTCTCAAATGTAGGGGGCTGGATAATTGTTATTTGGTAGACATTTGAGGTCAATTATCTCATAAATGGTTTTTAATTAAGGACAAAATATATAGGTAGAAAAATCAGATTACCCCAATAATGTTTAAATGACACCCCCTAACAAGGTAATAAGATTAACCCCCACATTACCAACAGTAAATACTATTTACAATAAAAGATTACCGTAATATTTTATTACTTATAAATCAAACACAGGAAACTTGCAAAATAAACGAAGATTACCCCCGTTATCTTATATATCCCCCTATCCAAACGGCCCCATAAAAGTATCAAAACCCTCCTTAATAGGACAATAAAATACTTTCTACTAACTATAAGTGAGTTTAAAATTAATTGATCATGTAGGTATATATAATAATAACCTTGTTGCCCAGGTGAGCCAGTATCCTGCAGTGGCCAAAGCCAGTGGACCAAGTCACCTCAAACCGTGGGCATAGGACTAATGGTTTAAGCAAATAGGGTTGCATCTACTGTAAACTATAACTTTTGACATGATGATAAGCGTATGATCCTAACAAGTGGTATTAGAGCTGCTTGTGGGCGGATAGATGTTAAGGGAGGTATTGTTCGTTAGGTGGGTCAACGTCACGCCCGATCCTACAAACCCTTGTTTAGTCTACATTGTAGCATGATTGATTTTCATTAACCTAATGAACCAACTGGTTAAACAAGTGTAAACTAGTCAGATAAATTATAGGTCTATTTAACTTTATTATGTGTCCACTACCAATAAACTTTACCTTATTTTATAATTCATTTGTCAACATGAAGAATTGTGTATTGGATAAAAAGGGGTAACAACAAATAAACAACACAATTGACCTTTTCTTCATTTGAATAAATTCTCTTTACAAAAATTTTCTCTTTTTTTGTTGCACTTTTCTCTTTGCAGTACTCTACATGTTTGACAATTGACTCAACTCAAA